GGTTATTAATACAATAGTTTTGCCTCTATTTATGACCGCCAACCCGGACCATCTCCTTCCTTAATATTGCAACGGACAACTACTAAATATTCAATTCGAAAAAGATATTTAAAAACATATAAAAAATGAAATATATTAAAATAAATATCAAAAAAGAAAGCACAATAAAATAAAAAATATATTTATTCTTATATTTTATTTAATAGCCTATGTATTTTAAGAAAATTTATCACTGTTTTTATGTTTGATTCGTTGTTGCTTTATACTGCTGATATATCCGGTTTTAGAGATAATCGATTTAGGCTTGAAGTGTAATAAGTGCATACTGTTTCTTGTAATGAGTTTTTAACAGTAAAGAGATAAATCAGACAATTGGAGGGAAGTACAGACAATGCCTTTCAAAAGTCCTAAAGATATAGTAAGTATACAAAATATACTATTGTATAATACATATCCTAGGATAACTTCAATGTAGCTCCGAAGAATCTTGGACTGCAAATGAAACCAGAATAAACGAAATATTTCATACGTAAAATCACAGGCAAAAAATAAGGCAAGTATATTCCCATAAGATTTTTTTTCTGATTTCCATGAAGCACTTGCGATAATATAATATTTTTAGGTATTTATTTGTTTCTGAATCAAGCAAGATTGAAGAAATGTTCCACAATTGAGTTCCAATACCGGATGACTATTCAAGATATTTCAGCTATTTCAATTTCAGTTGGAATGCTACGAAGATAGAATGGATTCTTTTAATGTGGCTAGGACATCCAGCACGTGCGTAAATATAAATACGTCTTTTACGATTGTATTTTTTATGGATTCTGTTTAGGATAGGAATCGGGTTTCGAATTATTTATGTCTTAAAGTCCTCTAAATGTGACTGTTAAATTTAACAACTGTGACAGATTTCTTTAAACATAGACTCATAGACAGTTGAGATACATCAAGAAAGTCGCTTTTAGATTTAAAGAGAAAAATGTTTCACAAAAAAGAGAAACAAAAAATTAATGTGAAAGATTAACTGGTATTAATTTAGATTAGATTAGTACGTGTTCTTTAAAATCGCTTTCAAATTTTACTTACAAATTATAGGATCTTAAAATATCGAATTTATAAGATCTTAAAAAAAGTGTGAAAGCTACATTGGAAATTTACAAATATCGAACCATGGGCCTTGTGACAGTTGCTATATTTTGCGTTTAATTATTTAATTTCAGGTATAAGGAATTGCAAATGAGGAACTATGGAGACATTTATAAAAATCTGGTGAGCGCAGCACACAACTTTCACTTACCACTCAACTTTGAATAGAAATTATTTTCTGGCCAAGTTGGGCTATTATAAAATTATTGAAGCGCATTTTTAAATGACCTAAAGCAAAAAAATTACAGCTAACAAATCATAAATACTATTAAAATAACAAAAGTCCTATTTATTATATCACCGGTTGATTATGGATTGAACGATCCGTTGATTATGGATTGTACGATCCGTTGATAATGCATTGTACGATCCGTTGATTATGGATTGTACGATCCGTTGATTATAGATTTTACGACTATTCGTTATTAAACTGTTATTTACCATTAAAAAGTTTACTAAAACGGAATTAAGAGATTTGCATTGTCTGTCTGACATTTGCACTGACTGTATGTGGATTCTGTTGGAATATCGCAAAGTCAATATTTATCAAAATATTGACTAATTAAATTTTCTAATAGGTTACATGCTGATTTTTAGGAATAAACAGACGATAGATACCTAATTATTTAAATATAATATCACGTCTATAGTTATTAAACAACAGTAAATATATTTAAAGGCCGGTCCACACGCTCCGTTTTGCACAACGTTTTGTCTGCGCAGTTCAAAACGTTGCAGATAAAACGTTGCGTGTGGACTGGAAAACAGTGCAGTTTTGAATCCATTTGGAAGACGGTACAGTCTTAGTAAAACTGAGCCAGACAGCTCAGATTTCCTTGAACTGCGCAGGCAAGTCGGCGCATGTGGACGGTAGCACCGTTTTCCGATCCGTTTTGCTATTCAGTTTCAATCCGTCGGGCGACAATGGCTGACCTTCGGCAATGTTCTAGGGAGTTTTTAACTGATTTTATTGCTCTGTATGAAAGTTTCCCGTGCATTTGGCGTGTAAAATCAAAAGAATACAGTGACAGGGATAAGTAGGCGGAGGCGTATGAAATTTTAGCTAATAAATCTTAAAGTTGCTGTTAGCCTTTCATGTGCTGATATTGCTGTTCTCATACAAGTATTTTCTTTGTTGATATGCGATGTCACCAATTCCAATAAATAAGTATATGTGTCAATGTCCATTCGCAAGTAGTTCCGCCAATCATTAGGTTCATCACGTAATTCACGCAATAATTTGATATGGGAAAAGTGCTGCCTTTTTAGAAGCCACTTCCGCGACCACTTTGAACGCAGGGTACTTCTGAGATGTTCCAATCTTTTTTTTTTAACAATACATATCGCGAAAATCGACCAGAGTAGTACCTCCTCCATGGCGATCTCACACAAAACTGAGCAAAATAAACGGATATGTCTGTGCCGTGTGGACGCTCTGCAAATTGCAACGTTTTCATTCCGTCTTAAGACTGCGCAGACAAAACGTTGTGCAAAACGGAGCGTGTGGACCGGCCTTAAGGTTATAAACGTATCCATGAAATGATTTTATATTTTACTTCTTCTTTCACACAAGTACAATAGTTTTTTAAACAATCTCATCGCCTTGATTAGGTGGATTTTAAATACTTTTTTCAAACTTAAAAATATTTTAAAAGTTTGCATTAGTGAGTAAAGTTCATTTAATTTCCTTGAAAACACGTGATTTACGTTTAATATTATTAGTTTTATTTATTATTTATACTTTATTTCGCCACTCTCCGTTACCTTCTACAACTTTCTATATTAGATATTGTTTTTCTCTAAAATTCTTCGCTTTCCAACGATATATTATAAGTCTACCTTCTGATATACGTAACATCAGCTTCGTACGACTTTTCGTTTACGAGCTTGTGTTCACATACACACAGACCACTTTTAGGGACTTGGTTATTTGGACTCAGGGTTCCTCAAAACGTGTATTTCTGTTGAAAACTCAGACTCGAAAATTTTCACGATCGCAATACTTATCCTTACTATATATTAAGATTCTAAAAAAATAAAAAAATATTATTAATATTAAGTCTGGTATATGATCACAGAAATTGGCAGTTTCAAACAATCCTAGTCATTGTTGCAATTTTCAACCAATGCTTCATTTAGTCATAAATCAGGAGGTTTTCGTAAAAGTTCTCACTAACAGTTGAGAAGTTTTGGGTAAAACTTTAATCAATTATTTATGCTGGTAAAATTTATAGTTACTATAAAATATCATGATATTCTCACGCATTTTTTTCGTTGAAAACTTTGTAAAGTAAAACATTATTTTGCCGTGTACGCTTCGGCCTCAGATTATTTTCAATATTTAGAACAATTTGTTATTCTGTTACTTTAATCAAATACCTAATTTAAATTAAAATGTAGTGCTCCAAGCAGTTCATAGTCATATATATTCTAACACTGCTTGATTCAGTTTTTGACAGAAATGAGTTAGGTAGATTAGTCCATTCGTTTTATCACGGCAGATGATAACCATGAATATGTCATGATAGATGTAACCATGAAATTTTGACATTGAAATAAGCTACTAAGTTTAAGAAGGTCATCAGCAGCATAATAAAACATTTTTTTTTTTTTAATTATTGTAATGTTATGAGAATTGAGCTGTATAATAACTTTTTGATCGATTATAAACAAGAGAAACAAGTACATAATCATCATAATTTACCTTGATCTAGCTGATTTTAATAAACATATCTATACTTTTTTCAATAAAAATAAATTCAATTGTATTTTTTTTTTGTAACATTAAACTTCATATTCTCATTTCCGTCAATATACATTTTTAGAATACTTCATGAAAAAACATTCATTTATTAAATTTAAAATGATGCATGTAATAAATAAAAGAATTTTCAATTTGATAAACTTATACGAAATAAACATTACTCATCCGATATTATCAATATTCAAATATTTTATTGGAGATCTCTTAACCATCTTCTTATCCACTAGCGGATCCAGGATTTTATTTTGGGGGGGCTTCAGCCCGAAAGATTTTTTTTTTCATATACACATAACGATAATTAATTTGAAAAAAAATAAATTAATTAATTTATTTATTTTGAAATTAATTACCTATATGAAATGGTGTTTAAGTAGTTCTTGAAGTCCTATTAATTATAATTACACGAATAAGAATACTTTAAGAGATAGTTTTTAATATTTTTTTCTGTAAAACATGGTTACATTTTACCATTTTGAGGGGGCTTCAGCCCGAAAGCCCCCCCCCTCCCGTAGATCCGCCTGTGTTCTTATCCCTAACATTCTGTGAAGTGTAAACTATGTGTACATCTCTTTTTACTCATTTCTTAATTAATTAGAAATAGGAATGAGAGATATTTCTAGTAAATAACTTTCGTGAATAACCACAAAAGCCAAAAAAAAAAATGTTCTATTGAAAGAATCCTTTGTAGGATTCTTTCGTTGCGACTAGTGCGACTAGAAGTTTATTTTTTTTTGTATTTTTTTTTTTGTGTCATGCTTTAGTTAATATCAATTTTTAGTTTATTAAAAAAAAAAGAAAAAATAAGTAAATAATTCTTTCTTAGCTCTTAGTTCGAAACTTTTTGGATCTTTTTCAGACTGTTTGTTTGGTGAGTTGTTGCAGCATTTTTTATATATTTCAACTGAATATTTTTTTGTTTTTAGTATTTAACGTATAAACAATAACTATCAATCTCTAGGAGTAAGTTTAATTTTGTCTCGGACGGTTCCGTTCATACTTCGACACCGAGTAATCCTTTTGTCAAAGACGAATCTCTCTTAACGAACTGTGAAATAAGGTTATTGTTTATGTAAATTGTGAGGTTGAAATGATATCGGAGCGTGAAGGTTATTTCACTTTTCCATTTTAGATAGTCTCGAAGAATTTCAATAGAGATGAAAATTTTAATTTATTTTTATCTTTCAGGTACTCCAACCCTTACAGACCTAGTACCAATAGGGTCAGTAGCTATCAATGCCAAGAATAGCCGGACCTGCAAGATTACGACAGCTGAGGTAATTGGTGATGGGTATTCAAGTCGTGCAATGGAGGAGGAGCCCCGCATACATCGAGGACGGTCTTGCGAAATCCTTCTACAGGATATCCACTCGATATTTCGCTAATGTATCGCAATTGTGGTTGATGAATCACACAGAACGATAGCATACTTTTCATAAGACGGTTACGCGACTTACGGACCATTCATTACTGCATCTGCAAGTGATTTGAATTACAGAATTAAGAAATATAACTCAATTAATACAAATGCCATTGAAAGATAACTCTGAATATTTGAGGCAGATTTAATTTTTTATGGATTGAACAAAAACTAATGTACCCTAGTAGTCCAGTCAATGAACGATTATAGATGAAAATGGAAGGGACACAATTTTTGACTTTGGTATATTGTTTGAACTAGTAAGGAGATAAAAATACCAGAAGTCCCCACTCTTAGGTGTGCCAGATGTGGGGGGAGGCCCCTAGAAGGTCACCTTTTTCGAGTTTTCAAGTATATCAGAAAAATGATTCATCCCATCGATAAAGACATTCTATACAAAATTAAAGCTGATGAAATTTGCAATATGATTGATCGTATACATTTTTTCGCTGCCTAGCTTTGTTTCCGAGATATCAGTCCTCGGATTTTGTTCTAATTGCATTCGTTATTATTATATTGCTTTAACTCTCTGTACATCTAAATCTCTGTGTATATTTATACATTTACATACATACAATAATGTTTATTATAATTTTTTTTTTTTTTTGTGTAAATTCTCGGAGTTTCTTTCACATGACCGGAAAACGAAGCATTCAAGAGTTAAATACTATAAAAAAGCATGAGATAAATTTTTTTCAATATTAGCGATAGATGAGGACGGATATCTCAGAAACTAAGCTAGATAACTTAAAAAGTTATAAAGGTAATCAATGATTTTGAAAATTTTATCAGCTTTGTTTTAAACGTCTTTGTCAATGCGATGGATAGTTTTCCTGATATAAGTGAAAACTCGAAAAACACCAATGAACACGAGGTAAACTTTTTTTTGTTCAAAATTAGTCATGGTTGGAGACGGATATCTCGGGAACTAGCCGAGATAGCGAAAACAAGTATATAATCAGACATATTCCACATTTCATCAGCTTTTATTTTTTGTAGAACGTCTTTGTCGATGCGATGGATAGTTTTCCTGATATGAGCGAAAACCCGAAAAAAGGCAATAGACACGAATCAAAATATTTTTTTTCAAAATTTGTTATAGATGAGGAAGGATATATCAGAAACAAACGAGATAACGAAAAAAGGTTCATAATCAATCATTTTGAAAATTTTATCATCTTTAATTTTGCGATGAATAGTTTTCGTTATATAAGCGGAAACCCGAAAAAAATGATCTACTAGTGGACTTCTCCTTCCCCCCTCCCCCCAAAAAAATTCTCCAAAGTCAAAAATTGTGTCCCCGCCAATTCCTTCTATACCCTCTTTTCGAACATTCATTGATTGGGCTAAAGGGGTGCACAGAGAGGAAAGAAGGTTGTATGGACTAAGAATTTTATTTAGATTATTGCATACTTGCGAAGTTGCGCTATCAACATTTTTGGGTGGCACATTAACTTTTCTATTTTAAGAGAACTTTTACACAAGATGAAGAATAAGGAACTCAGAGGTTGACGTGTAAATAAAAAAAAAAATCTAAGGGTGCTAAAGAACTGTAGGAAGAATAATGGTTTTGTAGATTCCAATTTCTAAGTTTTGGAGCAGGAGGCGCGAGCTAAGTAGAAGAAATAGTTATGAGTTCAAGAATAATTTGGAACTAAACTACAAAATTACAGCAGTATAGTAAGTACACTACACTGTTTCTAGAAGGTTCTAAAAAATATATATACTTTGGATAATCTGTACTTAGATCATTTATTTCCGGATTTAAACTTTTCTTGTCGATTCATTTTTAGAAAATGGATAATCATAAAAAATTCGAAGTCTGAAAGTCTTGAATTGAATTCAAAATAGTACCATAGTTGTAAAGCTTTAGCTAACAACAATATTCTATTTTTTTAAATGGAGAAGGATGAAAAATCAATTCGGAACGGGTCTGATTGATCTCAACCGGACATCGATGCAAACTAAACCATGGCGAAGCATTTAAATTATTCATTAAGACAAGTGCTGTTGCTACACTCGATTCGGTAGTTGATATTCATAAGTTCACCTCAATATCTGCTGTATAATATTAAGACATTCATAGTCATAGTTCGACTGGTTATGACATTAATGACAAGCTTATACACGACGAGCTTTCAAAAGGAGCCCTCCCGATGGCCTTGGCCTATATAAGATGGTAATGACTGCCTTACCGGGTATTGTAATTATATGATATAATATTGTGATTGCTAATAACAAGTAACTAGGCCTAACCGTTAAATATGCTGCAATAATAATCTGCCAAGTAAGGTCAGTATAGCTTCCCCGCCAATAGTAAACTAATAGTAAAATGGTTAATAAAATGAAGTTGAAGAGTTCTTTACCATATTTGCAAATTGCGCAATCGACGATTAGTGATTGAAAAAAAAATCCTAGTAAATACTGAACATGTATACTTAATTGGTATGTTCTCACTCGTAAAATGGATGGAACGAAAAATCTATTGGAAAAATTCAATTTTCTGTTTGTTAGATGTTAATGGATTTATATTCTCCATCAGTCAGAATAAAACTACGTTTATTTTCTTTTTACAAACTCGGAGCAAAAAGTAATTTAAATTTACTGAAAATCATATTAAATCTAATTAACGACTGTTAAGCACCATGCCAGTAACGTGGAATCGACCAAAGAATACAATTTATATTAATTAATTATAACCTCATTAAAAATGTATTAGCCTAACTCCTTAATCCATACGATCAATCCTTCCACAGTTCATAGCCAATATATGTTAAACAGTTATTTATGTTAATTTTAATTATTAAAAGGAATTCAATGAAATTGATATTAGCCAATTTCGATACTATTCTTTAAATTTTCTCCATGTTTGGATCAAATCGAACGAGCCGTTTTCAAACTATATGCGTCTCAAAAATAATGCTGTCGAAAGCGAAGGTATTTTTAGAAAGTATTGGATGAAATTTGTTAAAATTGTTTTTTGATCATTTGTTTACAAATTCCTAATTTTCCTCGAAATTTGGATCAAATTGAACTTGCAAATTTGGGGCAAATTGAAATAGTCGTTTCTGATATATTGTTATTCAGAATACCTCATATATGCGGTCCACAATTGAAATATCTGGGAAACCGTTAAGAATCGTACACACTAGTAGACCATGTTGGGCTATTTTGTCTATAGACCGTCTATAGAGCCATTCTTTGTCTCGTCTAGCGTCCACACTACATCTTCGCTGTCCACCATGGAGAAAATTGGTTTGTGTTGAATGAGCTCCTATTTATTACAAGTGATATTACTAATTACAAGTGAAAAAACGCAAAAGCGTAAACTGTAGTGGACGCGCGAAGTGCTCACAGGAGAACCTATTCGATAATGAATTATTAAATAAATTAAGACTGGAAGAGGCCATAGGTTTTAGGAATGTCATCCGGCTTACGCCAACTGATTTTGAAGCTGGACACAGACCACTCGATAACTGGAGATAGACTGGGACGTGTCCTGCCTCAAGACGCCGAGTGACGTCCACAGTGACAAAATGTTGCGCTTTAGACTTGCGATTTTTGGTCTAGGAACAGACCCATAGACAGAGGTTAGTCTATAGTTATGTCTACGTAGTCAACCATGAACACGTCCCAGAGACCTCTAGGAACAGACCCATAGACAGAGGTTAGTCTATAGTTATGTCTATGTAGACAACCATGAACACGTCCCAGAGACCTCTAGGAACAGACCCATAGACAGAGGTTAGTCTATAGTTATGTCTACGTAGTCAACCATGAACACGTCCCAGAGACCTCTAGGAACAGACCCATAGACAGAGGTTAGTCTATAGTTATGTCTACGTAGTCAACCATGAACACGTCCCAGAGACCTCTAGGAACAGACCCATAGACAGAGGTTAGTCTATAGTTATGTCTACGTAGTCAACCATGAACACGTCCCAGAGACCTCTAGGAACAGACCCATAGACAGAGGTTAGTCTATAGTTATGTCTACGTAGTCAACCATGAACACGTCCCAGAGACCTCTAGGAACAGACCCATAGACAGAGGTTAGTCTATAGTTATGTCTACGTAGTCAACCATGAACACGTCCCAGAGACCTCTAGGAACAGACCCATAGACAGAGGTTAGTCTATAGTTATGTCTACGTAGTCAACCATGAACACGTCCCAGAGACCTCTAGGAACAGACCCATAGACAGAGGTTAGTCTATAGTTATGTCTATGTAGACAACCATGAACACGTCCCAGAGACCTCTAGGAACAGACCCATAGACAGAGGTTAGTCTATAGTTATGTCTATGTAGACAACCATGAACACGTCCCAGAGACCTCTAGGAACAGACCCATAGACAGAGGTTAGTCTATAGTTATGTCTACGTAGACAACCATGAACACGTTCCAGAGACCAAAATCGCGCAACACGTCTACTAGTGTAGACAAGACTTTTGAGACACCACAGAATTGCAAAGTTGTAGTTATCATTGAGATCTTTTAGATGTCTAATTTACTAATCTATTAAAAAAATATTTTATTTATAATAAAGATGTGAAGGTTTAAGCACTCACTTAAAGGTAGGTATTTTCTCTTTCCCACAAATGTTTAATACATTTCTATAAAACAACTTTAAAATCAAATGAAGAAATATGATTATTTTAGTTCTTTTTTTTTAATTATTGTGTTTCCACAGATTCAAATTAAAATAGTCTTGGAGTGATCAGACCCCTTTAGCAACAATTTTCAGATATTTCGCCAACAAATAAACAATTTTTAATCTAAATATTCCAAGTATAATAATAATTTTGTGCTTACTTACATTGCTATTAATAAAAAACGAAGAACAAATGTTTCATTGTTTTTATAAGAATTGAATTACGTAATTAAAACTGATGTTGTTATCTCTAAACATGAAAAAAAAGGCATTGGTTTATTTTTATTAATAATAATAATAATAAGGCTTAGC